GAGGTCATGAATTTTAGAGGAAGCAAAGTAGGAGAGGACAGAGGAAGGCAGAAAAGATGCAATTATAGTTTAATTTTTAAAAAAGTGAAAAGACAAACCACACAACTACTATGGCGCCTGGATGCAGGAGAAAGAGTCTCTTTTCTTTGGGTGGTGTCAGACACCATGGCCAAGGCAACTCTTAGAAAACATTTAATTGGAGTTACAATTACAGCTACTTGCTTATAGTTTCAGACGGTTATCATAGCGGAGAGTGTTACATCCTGATCCACAGACAACAGCAGAGAGACACTAGGTAGGTCTGGTGTAGGCTTTTGAAACCTCAAAGCCTACTACTCCCAGTGACACACCTCCTCCAAAAAGGTTACACTTGTAAATCTTTTCCAAACAGCTCATCCACTGGGGACTAACAAGGAAAAGTACAAGCCCATGGAAACCATGCCCAGTCACGCCAGCAGAGGTGGCCACTGGGAGGCCCCAGTAGGTGACTTTATATAGATGTGCACATTGGCAGCACTAATCGGACTTGGTGTGTTACCATAACAGGATGTTTAAATTGGGAGGGAGACATGTTGGGGACAGAGTCCAGGGGAGTTGAGAGGGAGGGAATGGGAGTAGATATGACCAAGATATGGTGTACACATATGAAATCTTAAAAGAAGAAAAGAAGAATTTGGGTGGTAGACTGTATGTTCGGAGCCTTCTTCTCTTTGTTATTCCAGGGTCTTTATTATTACCACCTGGGTCCCTGGGTAGGCTTCTCTCCCCATGACAGCATTTTCCCTATGGAAATGGGAAGAACAAACTAGACGGACTAAGGAAAGCTTCTCATGAAGTGCTGTTACGGAACAGTCTGGTCTTCAGGGTACGAGCTGCTCGGGTGGCTCTACCTTGAGAAGGTGGGAGGCAGATAAGGAGTGACGCGTTGACTGAGCTGGGTATAATGGTTCACATCCTCCCAGCACTCTGGAGGCTAAGGCTGCAAGTTTGAGACCAGTCTGCACCATAAAGTAAGTTCTAAGCCAGGCTGGGTTACGTAGCAAGACCCAGTGGTGTCTTAGTTACAGCCACAGGAAGACGGTTCAGTGCTATCTTACAAAACTAGGCAGATGATCAGCAATTGCAGTCTCTGGTTTCTATCCGCAGTAGTGGAAAGCATATGTCTGTGTAAACACCTGAGACACCTCTTCACAGCAGCTTATTCATAATTGCCCAAACTGAAGTCACAAAAGATGTTCTTTAGTAGGAGAGGATAAATAAACTGAGATGCTCACAGAAAACAATATCATTTAGCACTAAAAAGAGGTGATCACTCAAGGTATGAAAACACATGGAGCATGTTTAAATGACATTGTTTAAAAAGCCAATTCAAAAATGTCTAGATACTTACTTTTTTTTATTTTGATCACAGGATATAAAGGAAGGCAGAACTATAGAGATGTGTTTGCCAGGGCTTGGTTGGGAAGGAGGGAGGAACAGAGTGGAGTCCAGGGGATCTTTTAGGTGATGAGTCAGTTCTGTGTGACGTACTATCAAGGACACATCACTAAACGTTCATCCAAACCCACACACTGGGCAGCAGCAAACCGGACCCCAGTATGAAGGACGGCCTCTCATGATAAAGCTAACACTTCACTCCATATTTGTCAGAAACGAGGTGGTACTGTTGGTGGAATGCAGAGGCTACGGCCCAAGGTGGGAAGGTTATGGGAAATTTCTGTGCATTCTACTTAATCTTTTTTTTCTTTTTGAGACAGAGTCTCACAGTGTAGCCCTGGCTGACCTGGAATTCATTATGCAGACTAGGATAGCCTTGAACTCAGAGAGAAACCTGTTTCCCAAGTGCTGGGATTGAAGGGGTGCACCACCACATGCAGCTGCTTAGTTGTGATATAAACCTGAACCTCCTGTAAAGGATGAAATCTTATAAACGCTCTAATAGACGAATGAACTAGAAAAGAATGAAAAGGCAGGCAGGCTGGGCCCAGCATAGAGTCCAACCATTGTGTGTCCACATTGTGTGAGCCATCCTGGGGTTCTCAAAGCTGACCCAGAGGCTCACAGCCTGGCTCCTAAGCACACAGTAACATAGTACCCACATTGTGTCCACTCTCCCGGGTCTATCCTGCCACACTTGGCTCGGAATGCCACTGCATACCTCCACCCTTTACATGCCCTCTAGTGAGAAGGCCCTGCGCACTCCATAGTCTTTGCCTGGCCAACATTTCTACTTCCTTCACTAATCCCCTTAGATTGGGGCGGGGCCTCATTTCCCCTCATCACAATGCTATATAGTTGTGGGGTTTTTTTGTTTGATTTTGTTTTTAACATGATTATGACCTATGATCCTACCAAACACAGTTCTAGGTCCTGGAGGATTTATCAATGAATGAAACAAACAAAAAACGCTCGTCCTTGGGAAGCCCACATTCTAGAGGTGCCTTTCCCCTTGGCCTATGGGCTTGAAATGCACACAGAAAGGCAACAAGCACTGCCTACGGTGTTGCTGTCCAAGGTGCCTAGCCCAGAGCAGACCCCATCTCCTGAGTGGGCTCATAAGTGGTCTGATGGAACTAACAGGCACCAAGGCCTCAGAGCATCTGCAGTCCAGTACAATCCACTGGGTAAGCACCTGTGGCAGCGGCGGTGGCAGGATCCAAAGGGACTGTTCTTGACATCTGTCTTGATTACTCCTTGTTATCTTCCATAAGGCTGTTTAATGTCCCCAGACACATCTTTGTAAGACAGATAAAGGATGTTTTAGAAAGTCCAAGATAGAGTGGGTTACTAAACTTGATTGGGTATCAGATTGGCTAAGTAATGGGACAGTGCCTGAGAAGCTATTTCTTACAAGCTCTTTGGGTTATTCTGACGTAGCCACCCACACAGCAGGGGTTCAGACAGACCATCATCATTTAGGGTGTGACTCGATCTGTCCCGAGCCACCGTAACTTCACTTCAATCTACCAGAGCCTCCATTTCTTTTGGGGCTCGGCTCAAATCTCATCTTCTTGAAAAATATTTCACAAACCAGACTTTTGCCTTAAAGGGAAAAGTTATATGTACGTCTGTGTGTCTCTGCATGTGAGTACAGACACATGTGAGCCAGAGGGCTAGTGGAAGACCCTGGAACTGAAGCTATAGTTGGCTGTGAGCCACTCCACACAGGTGGTGGGAACAGTTAGGTGGGTCCTCTGTACGAGACATGTTTTAACCACTAAGCGAGCTCTCCAGGCTGGTTCTTGTTTTGCCTGGCAGATAGTGTCTGTGTGTAGTTAGGCTTGCCTTGAACTGATCCTCCTGCCCTAGGCTCCCAAGTGCTGGGTTCTAGGCTTATACAATCACCCTTTTAATACAGCAGACCCCTCCCTTCACCTTTTTTACCCCCTTCCCCTGTTTACTTTGATCCAAACACTTAGCTCTGCTGTGACAAGGTAAGTCTGACTTGTAGGCTCAGGAAAGTCTACCCCTCCATTTTGAGAGTCTCTGCAGGCTCGTTCTAAAGTGCAGCCACCATCAAAGGGTAAGTGGCTAAACTCATACTTACATGAATGATACTGAGCACACACAAAGGTAATAAGGCTCATGTCTGTCCCTTTCTAACCTTGAAAGCCATAGTTCGTATGTCTCCCTGATGTCCTCACCCTGCAGACTTGCAGAACACAGATATGATGTATAAAGGCATGGTCCTGAATATTTTTCCTCTACCCTGAGTCCAGCGACAACAACTGGTGAGCTGAGATTAACTTACTAGGAGTACTTCACAGGAGAGGTAAGCATGACAAACTGGGTTTAAAAGAATTGTTTCATTAATTTGTCCCTGGTTGGCATGGACCAAATTCAGCTCATCTGTTGTATTTATAAATAGTCTTCTTGGAATAAAAACCATGCCCACTCACATACTATCTGTGGCTGCTTTATACAGAACCAAGGTAGGCAGTTCAGCTACAGCTGAAAAGTCCCACAGTAGCAGCCTTTCACAGAGGAAAATGGCTGGCTACTGCTCTGGCCTTAAGTAATGGAAGCTGGGCTTGGTGGGACACACTTTTAATCCCAGAACTCAGAGACAGAGGCATGCAGATCTCTATGAGTTTGAGGTCAGCCTGGTCTACAGAGCTAGTTCCAGAACAGTCAGGGCTACATGGGGAAACCCTATGTCAAAAAATTAAAAGAAAAAAAGAGAGAAAATCCTGGAGAAAACATCAGCAATGTAAAGCCAGTCAGGTCACAGGATCAAAAGAGAAATTTCAGTTTCTCTTATTGTTTTATGGTCTCTGTTGTTTTGTATTTTCATCTTCTTACCCTCCAGTTTGAATACAAACTCTAATACTTATTATGTTGGTACCACATTTATTTAGACACGACCACACACTGGCCACCGAGAGAAAGAAGACAGGCGAAATTCAAGGAAAGTATATATTGACTAAGTTGGAGGAGACAACTAAGAGAGAGAACTATGACAGCTCCCTGAGTTTGAGGCTAGCCTGGGCAACATTGCAAGACAATTATTTCAGAAACGAAATAGGGAGCTGGAGAGATGGGCCTGTGTTTAGAAACACATACTCCAAGTTTGCATCCCAGCACCCAAGCAGATCATAACTGCCTAGAGCTCCGCCTCCAGGGGATACCACTCTCTCTGCATGCACCCCCAAACACACACACACACACACACACACACACACACACAGACTTATTAAAACCCGAAACAGGCTGGGTGTGGTGGTGCATGGCTTTTATCCCAGCCCCCATGGACTGACTGGCCAGACCTACATCATGTTCTCAGCTCAACCACCAACCAGTCATGTGACCTGGTAAACTATATAACCTTTTAAAATTGTAGCTTCATTTAACAAGAGGGCTCCATCTTCTTACCTCATAGGGAGGTCATGGTCACGTACACCGCCTGCCTCATACTGTGCTTCTCCACAGATGGGCGTGGCCTTTGGACCCTCTACCCTTCACCCCTGGAGACACAGCCCTGATGCTGTCACACATTTCAGTGATGTCACAGCTCCCCTGCCTGGCAGCTCCAGCGCCATCCTGTGTTAATCAGCCCAAGTGCTGCAGTGAGAGGGGCAGGGTGCAGGCAGCACTGGGTCCAGTCTTGTTCCTACAGCCCCAGCATGAGTCCATCTACAAAGAAGAGGCCGAAGAATAAAGTGGCTTCTAAGGTCAGACCTGGTACTGGAACCCTGGCAGGCCCCATAGAAAGGATCTTACCAGAGAATCCAGCCATACCAAAGACAGTCTTCCGAGCCTTGAGGAGAAGGGAAGGTGGCGGGTAAATGGAGGCCAGCAGAGCTACAATGTCCTCGCTTTTGTTCCATACCCAAAGTGACAAGACTCCAATCTAGGATTGGTCAGACCATCCCCAGACAAACAGGAAAGGCACAGTGCAGGAACACGAGGGAACTCCCCTGTACCAGCTCTCTCTCTTCCTTCCTCTTCCTCAGATGCAAGATGAGAGACTGCAGAACAAGAGAAAGCAGCCTGTGAGCAAAGTCATTGAGCGGAGCCGACTTAAAATGGTGAGATGTTTCATTTTAGCTCCCGCTTAGGGAAGCCAGCCCCCACCTGAAGTGTCACCCCCAGGAGCTAGACTCAGTGACCCATGGGAGCCAGCAGACTCAGCCCTGGGCTGAGCCAAGCAACAGGCAGGGGATGAAGGGCTCTCCTGGGAGATCTGGAAACCTCTCTCTGGTTTCTTGACCCTGACAGGTATTAAAAAACTTGTCCCTCTTGAAACTATTCAAGAGCTCGAATAGCCGGATCCAAGAACTCCACAGGCTGGCCAGAAGGTGCTGGAATTCAATGCTCAGAGTTCCAAAGATCCTGCAAATCTCTTCTAGGTAAGCTCCGTCCACCCATACCCCCTCCTCATACACTCAAATGGACCCAATAGCTATCTTACCTCAGAATACACATTGTGGTAAAGGAGTGGAAACAGTGGCCTACTTTACAGAAGGGCTCTGTGCAACAGCTATCTACTCAAGCTATTTTACTCAGAGGGTCTGAAGCTCAGGAAATAAAGTGATTTAGCTTGGCCCACTGACTGATAATTGGTAGAGAACCTGTGTGAAGTCATTCCCACCTCATATCAAAGCTGCGGCTGTAACAGTGATCACAGGCATCTAGTTGAGGGCCCACTGATACTGTGATACTGACTGTGGATGTGGTGGAAGCTTTCTTTTCTTCCTCTCCCTGGCAGCCTATCCCAGAGACTCAGTCACAGACCGCCCTCTGAATCTAACGATACATGTATCTTGCTCAGAACCTGATTATTCGTAGGTCACTCTAGAATCTGGGGAGCATTTTTATAAGTGCTTGTTCTCTGCTTGGCATGTTACATATGCCCCCCCACTTAGCTCCTTCTACAGAACAATCCTAAGTACATTACGGCACCCCATTTTTATGATGGAGCCCTTGACAGCTGGCATCCACTGGCCATAACTGTCATCAGCTAGGATGAGCCAGGGCACGGGGTTCAGCGTGCACACATCCTCCTGAAGAAATCTCCTTTCTGGGAAAGAAAGAAAGAAAGAAAGAAAGAAAGAAAGAAAGAAAGAAAGAAAGAAAGAAAGAAAGAAGGAAGGAAGGAAGGAAAGAAAGAAAAAGAAAGGAAGGAAGGAAAGAAAGAAAAAGAAAGGAAGGAAGGAAGGAAGGAAGGAAGGAAGGAAGGAAAAGGGAAATGGAAAGAGAAAGAGAAGAAAGAGCCAGCAAGCAAGCAAGCAGTTAATTAATTAAGGCTGTTCATTCCTTCCTAAGGTTCTTTCTCTGATGTGGCCTCCCCGATACAGGCGACCAGGAAGCCCAGAACCACAAGGCTCAGGGTCATAGACCACCATGGTTTTTAAAGCACAGAAAAATCTCTTAAAAATAGTTGTCCCTAACAAACACTCAAGGTGAGGTGCATCTTACCTTCATCCTGTCTTCTACCCAGGACAGGTGAGGGTACTGGAGAAGGCTCCTCAGAACGCCATGATTTCTCAGACTATAATGTGAAAGGAACACTGGACAGTCACTCCTCTCAGCTGAGACAGAAGTCTAGCGTAGTGGCAGGTGCCAACAACATATCCTTAGGCTCCTCGAATACTGGTCATGCCATCTGACTTCCCATTCTGCCCAAACTACTCTCACATCTGGCCCAGGCACTGGAGACAATTCTTTTCAGTCTTTCTCTAGCTCTTACAGGCTCCCCGAACCAGCTACACAGCAACCCCCTCAGGACTGAGTTAGAAGGACCCTCTTAACCCTGCTCTGCTGACGGCCTTTCTTCTTCCTGTCAGGGACAATGATGTCTGCAAGAAAGTGAAACAAAATAATGCAGAGCTCCAAGACGTTAGGGTCCTTGAGAAGAAATCAGACTCTAAGAAGGCACAGTCCGTAAAGAAACCTAAGCAAAAAACATCCAAGGACTGGAAGCCCAAGCAAGGATCTAAGGGGTCACCTGCAGCTGTGACAAGGAGAAAAAAGCAGACAAAGTCTAAAGTATCCAAGACATCAAAGAGTCGTGGCTTGCAAACCAGAACCCAGAAGAGGAAAGCATATGTTAAGAAGCCCCGAGTTGTCTTCTTGAAGACCTACCATCACAGGACTCCCATGGGGGACATGAAGGCACTGGATATAACTGACCAGTTGGTCTGGTTTGAGGGGCTTCCCACCCGCATACACATCCCAGGGCGCCGGATCATGTGCAGATCGTCTACCTTACGGTGCCTCAAGCGTTCCTGCACCCGTCTCTGCTCTGCATCAATTTGAGCTGCCTACGCACCATCCATACGAGGTAAGTGGGACACTACCACTGCTGGGCCAGGGCAAGACTCGGCCACTCAGCCAGGCTGCCACCTGGGGCTTTGGGTCTTGGTGACTGTGTCTGGCAGTCGTGGGAGGCTCCATATCCAGAGAGAGGAAGCTACTGACCAGGCCACACAGCAGGCTACGAGCTGGGTTGGAGACACATCTCCATGTGACTCTGAGCTAGGGAAGGTGCAGTGGAATCAGAGACCCGATATGCGCCCTCTCCTATGATTCTGTGTCTCTGAATCTCAACTGATATCTAAACTTAGGAACCACACTTCATCTCCTCCCTTTAGACCAAATCAACTCTGATTTATTCACATTTATTAAATAAGACTTATGCTAAAAGGAAAGTTCTTTAAAGCAAAGACAAGAAACTCTCCTCTTCACGGGTTGAGGTCCCCATGAAAGGGGAATGAAAGCTGACTGAATCCTGAAGTCCATGTTACTGTGTTTCCCTTTGGGAAACCCAGATAACTCCAATTTGCTATAAAACCCAGAGAGCCCAGGTGCTGTGCCTGCTCACTGAACAACAGCGCCCCCTAGGGGCTATCGCCATAACTAACACGACGCTCTGCTTGCAGGTGGTGTGTAACCCTGGACGGGAACTTGTATAAAAGAAGTAGAGATCCTGCTATCGGCTTAGTGGAAGGGATAGTCAAGAAAGTCGCAAGTCTACAAATAAAATCTCCCCTATGACACTACTGTCTCTGCCTGTCTGAGGCTGACAATCACATAAACATGGAGCAAAAGTATCCTGGGGGAGGTGCAGGGGAGGAGGCTGGGTGTGTGTGTCATGAACCTCTGCTATCCTCCTCCATCACTCGGCTCCTAAGGTCATTTTGTAAAAGTGGAACAGAAAATCCACCAAGCCAAGTCCTTCAGCCTCCCCTAACTCCCCCACAAGGTGGGTCCTTTGAGCAGTGCACACTTCCTCTATGAAGTCAGAGACCACTTGTCTCCGAGGTACACGTGCCTCATAATGGTCCTGCAATCCAAGGAGAAGCAGAAACTTGTGTGCCTCTACAGCAGGTGACTCATCCAGGCTTGCTCAGAGAGGAGTCACAGAGCAAAATCTACCCTCAGCCTCCTGGCTTCTCTCCATTCCATTTGCCTAAGAGGAGAAAGTCATGTGGAGAGCCCGCCTTGCCCAATGAACTCTTTCTAGAATCCAGCTCACCACCGATCATCAGTGCATGTGGTGTCAATAACTGGGCCTCCTGGGTCACAGATCAGGAGTCCTGTCCAAACACTCTAACCCTGGTCAAAGATCATGGGAAACAGCAGAGAAGGTCGGGGTAGGCACAGAGCCCTCAGCTCTAACAGCACGTTCACTCTCGAGCCCGAGCCCTGAACGGCTTATCTCATCTATGTCACATTTATCAGTAGGAACTCAGGGCCTTGTACACACAACTGAGCAGATGGGTCAAAGGAACCCAGGTCTCCTTCAAAGACTATAATCCCTTCTTCTATTTCCTGGCCCTCTGGAGAGGCAGGCAACAGTGAGAGGGAGAGGGACGGGAGGACAGCCTCACTTCTCCTCACACTGCTGCTCCCTACTGCCTGGCACTGCCATCTGTATTAGAGGAGCAGCCTGAGATCATGGACCAGCTGGAGGCAAACGTGGCATCAGGAATATCCAACTATACTGCTGCTGCTTATGGGTGGAGCCCAGGACATCTGAGCACTCTGTGCAGCCCTCCTGTGTATCACCACCCCTGCCATTTCCCAGCAACTTCCTCCCCAGTCACTCCTCTCCAGCTGTTTTCCTGCCCAGTGGTCTCCATTTTGGGTCCCAGTAACCTTGGTAAATAACCTTTACTCAATCTCTTTCCAACCTCCTGTTGATCAGCCTGTGAACTCACATCAGCATCCTTCAGTGGGAGGTCACGGCACAAGCTCTGTCTCCATGGCACCCTAGTCAGAGAGGGACTCAGGTACAGGCCCCAGTGGAGAAGGCCTGGCTAAGGCTGACAAGCTGCAGTCTGTGCCCAGGGAAGGAGTTGGGCTGACGCCTGTGTGCAGAGGCTGAGGTCCACCATGGCCTTGGGGAGGAAGGGCATGGTGGAAGGCACAACTTCTGCCTCTCAACAGAACTTTTTCCAACTTGGCCTTGTCCCCAAGCTCTGGACATTTGTGACTGCCATCTGCCTATATCCCACTGCCCCCTTTCCTGTATTCAACCACTTAAGTCTGAGCTTCTTGTGGGTTTGATAAGCTCCACTATTTGAAAACAGAGTATCCCAGAAATAGTTTTGAACTCACTCTGTAGAGCAGGCTGGCCTCCCGAGGGCCAGGACTGAAGGTGTGCACCACCACATCTCACTATTTTAATTGTTTTTGTTTGTTTTTTAAGGGACACTAGCTGGGAGAGGTGGGACCTTTAATCCCAGCGTTTGGGAAACCAAGATAGAGAGATCCCATGAGTTCAAGGCCACCCTAGCCTGTATAGATAGCACTTGCCAAGGCTACATTAGTGAGACTTTGTCTCAAAAAGAAGGGGGGGAGGGTGAGGGGACCACTAACACCTATCTAGAGGTTTTGAAATAAATATGGCTTATGTAGGGAAGTCAGTTTGTGGGGTGCTGAAGGATTTTAGCCTGTTCCTAAACTTCCTTCACAGTTCTGTGCAGTAACCCCCAGGCTTGGTTCTGCTTTCTGCTTCTCCCTTGTGAGTCGCTACCTAATTATCTGCAAAGAAGGAACTAGCTGTCAGTTTCCAAAGATACCCCAATTATCTGGATCAAGTTGGAATGCGAGTTGTGTGATGCTGAGCTGAATTGTTAACTCCCTAATTCTTTGTGGTTCCTCTCTCTGTGGGTTAAGTGAGAATCTTCATGAGCAGGGTGAGGCAGACTGGTAAAAGAGTCTCCTCTTCTGTAAAATGGGTATGTAGGAGGGAGCCTGCTAACTTTTAGAATCATGGGTCATATGCTACTTTCCAGCTCTGTGCTATCTCATGAAATTCTCACAATAATCCAAAGAAATGAGTACAGTCTGCCCTCCACAGCCCTGAGCCCTGCATATATACATGGATTCAGCCAGCTGTAGATGAGAAATACGTGATAAAGATGTCCTTCCACACTGAGTATGTAGGCTTTCCTTGTATCCTGAACAATACTGTATACCCCCACCATGCTGACACCGCACCATCTGAAGTATGAATGAATGTGTATAGTTACATGGAGACACCACAGCATTGTCTTTAGCAGGGGTTAGGCTAGAGTATGAGACACAATCACTCCAGTCAAGCTGGCCTCTACTCAGTCACTGCACTGCAGCTCTCTAGTCCTCCAGCAGGTAGCATTCCCACTGAGTCAGGACACTCCTCCGCCCCGCTCCTGCCTCAACACTGCTTCCCTTAGCTCATCACTCTCCTGCAAGCCGTGACGTTTGGTCTCTGACTGTCCTTTGGTCAGAAGGAAGTCACCCAAAAGCCACAGAGGAGAGCCCCAGAAACTCAGCTTCCAGGAGAGCCTTTGTGAATTATGATCCCTTCAGGATTTAGAAGGGCCTAGGGCCTTCCCTTAAACCCCTCCCTCCAAGATGTCTGCCAATGCATTCTGGCTTCCACGTAGTCTATCAAAACGTTCAAAATGAGACTGCCTAGAATGTGGAGTTAGAGGTGTCCTCTGAGCCACACCCACCCTGCCTTGTCTTTTGGGGTTAACTTTTGAGTGTCAAGTGCCAAAGTCTCCACATGTCTCCTGAATTCAGTGTTAGGTAGAGAATGGAGAGGCAGGGTCAAGCCTTCAGGTCTCCAAAGGAGGTCTGTTCATTCACTAGGAAGCTGGAGGTAGGTTTGTTTTAGATTGCCGCCTTCATCCTCTGGAAATCAACACAAGGCCTGTGTTCCTTCATCACTCGTTAACATATGGTCCTTGTGCACTGCCTGTCTGTCTTGAATAGCTAGTTATGTTTGTAAAGTTCTATTCAACTTAATCTACAGTGATACAGTGAGATCTGAAGGTCTGACTCTAAGGTTATGGACAGCTGGATCAATCAGAACTTACGCATCCTAATTATTGCCCTCTGCTTTGTGAGCTCAATGTTATCTTCAGAGCTCAAATTCTGAGGCTGACAAGTCCCGTAGTTTCCTCATCTGTAAGATAAGAATGATGGGGACTTCCAGCTGAGGTGGTCACCTGAGAGATAATCCTTGGCCCACTGCTAGACAGGCACCTGTTAAAACACCCTGTAGATGCATTTATTATTAAACTGGTGAGCTATCATTGCTCCTGAAGACCAGAACGCACCTCTATAAACCATTCACACTGTTGCTTCAGAAACTGCACACATCTTAAGGTTATAAAACTCGAGTGGATTACATGCATATGGTATCTATAGGTTGAGTGTGGGTATGTGCACATGTGGGGCCCAGAGCAGGATATACAAAATAATTTTCCCTCTATCACTCCCTGCCTACTGTCTTGAGACAGGGTTATTTCACTGAACTGGAAACTTGTCATTTCAGCTAGGCAGGATGGCCAGCTAGCTATGGAGATATACCTGTCTCCCTGCCCTTTGGGGAAGGTTATATAATTTTTAATCAACAGTCACTCAGCTCAGACATCGTATTACTGGAATAAAAAATAAAAAAACAAAACAAAACAAAAAAACCACCTTGGTTTCGTTGGTGATATTGCATTTTCCAAAAATCTAATTAGCAGTCAAAGAATACAGGTTTCTCATTTAGAAAAACAAACCAAACAAACCTATGCAGGAAAAGCTGGCATAGGCACTAAGAGATGCTCCTGCCTGGAGCGACAGAATCCACAGCTTAAGGGGGCAGCAGCCACACAACTGCCTAAACCATTCACTGCAGTCATGTGCCTTCAGAGTTTGTGTTAAGGAAAAAACCCACCAATCCAGCTGGACCCAGGCCCTGCAGCCAGTATGCCCACAACCCTGGGTCAGCCCCAGCCTCACCCTAGCCTTTGCCCAGGTACTATCAGTCTCAGATTCTCACTCTGCCAGCTCCTGACTCCCTGCTCTACAGGGCTGAGAGACAAGAGACAAGAAGGGCTCCCTGTGCAGGAAGCAAAACTCATCTTAGCTGTGACACTCAGCTATCTTGGGCAAGTTCCAGGAACCAAATACAACAAAGGCTTCACAAACAATGTATGCCACTGTACATGTTCAGGAAAAACAAGTGTGTGTGTGTAGGGGGGTGGGGTAAGGCATCCTAGAGGCAGGTAGAGGGTGGGATATTTTGATATTTTGCTTGTTTCCTTGAGACAGGGATTCATTCTAACCCGAGTTTGTCATGTTGCCCAGGCTGGCCTCAAACTCATGATCCCACCCAACCTCAGTCTCCCAATTCTTTGGGCAAGCAGGTGCTACCACACTTACTCTGGCTTTTAGTATTTTACCTGAATGGAGAAATAACTCTGGGGCCCAGGAAAGGAGGAATACTAATTATTTACAGCTCTTGTGCACAGCTGATCTCTCTTGGTCCCAACGATGATATAAGTACAAGCCAAAGTGTGGAAAATAGAGTATTTATGTACCTAGGAAGGACAGCTGCCAGCCCTCACAGAGAAAAGCACTCGGAAAAAAGCTCCAGCCTTAGCCGCCAGCACTGTTAGTATACCCTCCCCATCGCAGCATACAAACAAGACAGCAAGCAAACTCTTGCCACAACTGAGGTCCAGTACAAGCTGGGTGCCTGGTCATCTCTAGAGAGCAGACAGTGGCTTTTATTATGAAGCTAAGGCTGGGGGGGATGCTGGGATCTTCTGTGTCCTGTGAGTTGCTGTGCAGAGCCAGCAGCAAGGTAGAGTCCATACAGGGTACAGGAGGAAGTAGTCATGGGTTCTTGGACTCTCATACACACAGTCGTGTGTGTGTGTGTGTGTGTGTGTGTGTAACAGGACACAGCTGTGCATTTTTCTTGTGCTTGATGCCTGCTCCACCTGCCATGCTCTGTCAGCAGCCTAGTACTTTGTACCTACATCTCTTTCTGTGGCTATGGACCCAGAAATCAAATGCTTCTCCACACAGAATCCCTGTGGTTTGGCAACACAGCAAAGGTACCAGCTGTCACAGGGCGTAAGACAGACGACGAGAAGAGTGGTTTGTTCCAATCAGATATCCTTGATTTTGTTTTCTTTTTAAAATAACAGGCTGGTGACAGTATGATGGCTCGTGTGACATGGTTCCAAATCTGTCACTACCTCCATGAGGTCCCTTACTGGCCTCCAGAGATCAAGGTTTTGGCGGGCAGAGGCCATTCTTGCATCTGTGATCATGGCTGCTACCTGCCTTTATGACAGGACCTCACTATCTCTCCACCGACAGACTTCACATTTCCAGGGTTCCTCTCAGCCTTGGGCCAGACCCTATCTGGAGGTCTGAGCAGCCCAAGGTGATGGGGCCCAAGTGGCAGCAGAGTGTCCAAAGGGCCCAACTCAGACATTGGACTTAGGGGCTGAGCTGAGGGGGATCTCCTTGAGCTCCGTCCGCATGCACAGGTACTCCCCGATGACGGCCATGAGTGCAATGCACACAGCTTGGACCAGCCACCAGGTCAGCGCCGAGGGGAAACGGGAGCTGTAGAGCCAGCAGCCCAGGAGGTGAAAGAAATGCACAGTGACAGTGAAATCCAGGCACTGCTTCCCTCGCCGGATGAAGTACAGCAAGCCCAGGGCACTGTGGGGAGAGGATAGCAGGGAGTTGTCACTGGGTTGTCCTGGCCTTACATCAGGTTGTTAGGGAAGTGAGGACAGTTAGGATGACATCATGGTAGTCAGAAGCGAGCACTGAAAGTGAGAAGCAGGGGTCATCCTATCAGATGCCTAGAGAAACCTGCTGGGTAACATCAAGAGTGGGTCTGACAGAGGGAGGTGGGGTGTTGAGTTTGACGACACACAGCTACCCAGGAATGGTAGAGACTGCTGGATACTGGAAAGTGTACATGGTCTGCAAAAAATGCAGACAAAAGCTATTTGCATCTAGGTGAAATCTTACCATAGCCTGGAATCAATCCATTTCCCCACTATTCAGGAAAAGCCAGAAATCTGTACCTTTCCCCACCGTCAGTGTACAGTCAGAACGTAAAGGACAAGACATTGTATGACAGCACTTTACTGGTGAGCAAACCGGAGACAAATTGTCCAAAGTCACTGCACCAGTGGTAAGGTTCAAAGCCAACTGAGTCTGCTCTTAAGTCCCTATGCTAGACTGATCCTAAAAAGATGAGCACTGGTCATGAGTGACCTAGGATGCTAACAAGTCCAAGCCCTGGTATAGACACAAAGAGCCTAGGGCCGGGAGAGGAGAAAAGTAGCTCAAGCAATGGCAAAGAGGAAGAATATAAGCCAATTCTCCTGGCTCCTGATCTAATTCTTCCCTCACCTCACACCACATTAAAGTATGCCATCAGGCACATCTACAGTGACAGTTGAGCTTTGCACTTAAATCAAAACAACAATGGAGACCATGACAGGGCCAGGCCACAGAAGCAGGCTCTTGACCCATCTCACTACTCCCAAGAAGAAGTGCCAGCCTGCCTCATGCTTAAGTTATGAAGTTAGACCCCCAGAATGAATCGGAGAGCTGGCGATACTCACCAGGTGAGGGCGTTGAGGACAAAGGACATCATTGAGAGCCGGCCTGGAGGGGTGGAAAAGCCCAGGATCTGAGGGGGAATCACAAAGGGAAATATGCTAGAGGTGTGGCTTTGCACCGCCAGGATCCTAGCAAACAGTACAGGAGACAACACGGTCTCTTCAACACGCACGCGCGCGCGCACACGCACGCACACGCACACACACGCACACACACGCACACACACACACACACACGGTGACCTCATTTAAACCCCATGGTGTATGAGGAGGTATTATACTCCTTTTATAAAAGATGCAAGAGTTTAGGGAAGTTTCCTGAGGCGATACTGTATACAGATAGCAAGAATCTAGTCTAGAAGGTAAGCTTAGCAAACTATGGCTCCAGAGGTCAGGCCTCTGCTTTAGTAAATAAAGTTTTATTGAAACGCAGTTCCCAGCTACTTTCTGGCATATCGTTTAGGATTGCTTTTGCACTATAAGGGCAGAGTTGAGTAACCATGACCAAAAAACCTTTACTGCCTCATCCTTCCAAAAGCTGTTGGCTGAACCTTGAGGTAGAACTCAGGCTGTGTACACCAGGCCACTCTGCAACAAAGCCTGATTCCCATATGCCTTTAAGAAGGATGGCGCCTCCCATCTCACAGGGTGCCACTACTCAGCATCTGGTATGTTTGCGATACTTATTGTTTACAGAGGACTACTAAATCCTAAATATCTGTGCCATACTTCATAACGTATGCATGGCTTCATTGCTTCAGAGGCCTTTGACATCCGCGATCTCACAACACTACTACGTGCCCTTTCCACAGAATTAAGTTACCCAAAGGCTAATGCAAACAATAACAGCAAAAGCAAGGACTCCATCCCAGGTGGTCTGGATGGAGAACTATGCTCACTATCAACTATCACTGCCTCCTCTCCTCTCTAACAACCTCTTAGGCCTCCACTACACCTTACAAAGCAGTTTCTTATTCCTAAACCTTTCTGGGTCTTTTAACATTTTGCTATAGGTGACACAACAGGATTATCCTCCTTACTTTCCAGAGAATAAAAGGGACTGGAAAGGTAAAAACAGTTTCATCAAGTTTCCTCAGCTAGACTAGACCCCAAGCACAGGCAAGCTCTTTGAACAATTTACCACCTAATACCAACAGTATGATACTGCAGACGGGAGACGAAACATTTGCCCAAGTCACACAGCAAACAGAGTGGAATTTAAATAGAGACCTGTCTGACACCAAGTTTTAACAGTCCCCACTCCATCGATACAGATGCCCTCTTATCTATTCCTCTTCCCACTGTGGTTCCTCACAATCTGAGCTGAGAGAAGAGAAGTCAGTTTTCTAGAGGTTCTCAAGAAAGAGACTTCACATGTTTGCCTGGAACACAAGTCTGTTGACTGTAGTGTTCAACATCAAGTCACAAGCTGTGAAGCTAGCGAGGCTGAGTGCAGCCGCAGCCAACACAAAACTGTAAAGTTATTTAAAGTATCCGTTTTACAGATGGGCACGAGGGTCGGGGGAGTGCACACTGAAATCCCTTCTTTTTAAAAATGTCCACAAAAGAACGTGGCCCAGTCGGATATAGAGCTCAGCGGTGCCCGATCACAAAAACCTCCTCTATCCCTCTAAGCCTACCTCCGCGTCGAACATCTGGTCCAGGGACGGGCTGCTGCGCACCAGCGCGTCCACTAGCGCCAGCCAGAGGCCCAGAGAGCCATAGTAGACTGTCTGCATGAGCACGATCTGCGACAGGATCAGCAACGGGTCCCACACGTAGCTGCGGAACTGGCCCGCCATGCCGGCCCGCTGGGCTCGGCAGCCGCCCGCGCCTGTCAGTGCCGCCACGCCATCGTCGCGCGGCCGCCGGACTACCTGCGGGGAGACACACAGAGCTTCAGCCGGCCGGCCGTCGCCTTGGCAACGCCGCGGGAGGGAGGAGGACCTGGGACCCAGGAGCGAGCCCATTCCGGGGTGGGATAGGCGGGGCGGGCGGACCCACCCGTTCCGGCCGCCGGGCTCCTCCCGGGTTCACTCACCCGCGACCGGCTCGAGGATCGAAGCGTCCAAGCGCGGCCGGGCCTCGGCGGTGGACTCCAGAAACTGCGCTGACAGACAGGACCATGGAGCGGAGGACCCGCCGGCCTAGAGAGGCCGAGTAGCTGCGGCCCACGGCTACCTGGGAAGGAAGCGCTTCCGGGGACGGCGGCCGAGGGGCATTGCGCAGACGCAGTGGACGCACCCCACACGCCATCCAAAGGGGCCTAAGCGAGCAGCCCGGAAATAAACTGTGCACATGTGCAGGAGGAAGGATGAAGGCAAACGGAAGTGAGGCACAAAACCGTGGATTTTGCGCGCCCTCTAGAGGGGCATTTTTAAAAACCAGCAAGTCCATTCCTAGGCGGGAAAAGGGTGGAAGGTCCAGAATAAAAAATTAATCATAGGGGGCTGGAGAGATGGCTCAGTGGGTAAGAACACTGGCTGTTCTTCCAGAGGTCCTGAGTTCAATTCCCAGCAATCACATGGTGGCTCACAGCCATCTGTAATGGGATCTGATGCCTCTGCTGGCGTGTTTGAAGAAAGACAGTGTACTCATATAAAATAAATAATTAAAAAAATATAATAATAAAAATTCACTATTTGAGGGATGGCGAGATGGCTCAGTGGGCCAGGCCTGACAACCTGCGTTTAATTGACTGCCTCCTGAAAGCTGTCATCTGATTATCACACTCACACAAATACAACGATTTAAATTTAACCAAAGGAACCTTTTTTTTTTTTGAGACAGAATCTCATTATGTAGCCCTGGATGGTCTGGAACTTGCTATATTCTAGGCCCACATGGAACTCACAAGGACCTGACTGTCTTTACCTCCCAAAGGAAGAAATAAATTTAAACACTGACTATTTTCATTTTAGATTCTCAGTGTTTTCTTTCCTTAGTAAAGAGCTTTCAGGCTCTTATATTTTTTTTTCTTTTGTCCACTGCTCCCATTATACACGTTTAAACTAAAGTGTAGAGAAGAGAGGCAGCATACTGTCTTAAAGACAAAGTTAGCCAGATGGTGGTGGTGCATACCTTTAATTCCAGCATTCAGGAGGCAGAGGCAGATAGGTCCCTGTGAGTTTGCAGCCAGCCTGGTCTACAGCACAAATTCCAGGACAACCAAAGCTGCACAGAGAAACCTATCTTGAAAAAAAAAAATCAGAAACCTAAAATAAATAATTAGTTAATTAAATAAAGTTAGTGGCAAGACAGGCTTTTTGTTGTTTTTTGTTTGTTTGTTTGTTTTCTTGAGACAGGGTTTCTTTCTTTGTGTAATCATACTGGGTGCCCAGTATGCTTTGTAGACCAGAATGGCCTTTTACTTACAAGAGATCCACCTGGCTCTGCCTCCTGAGTGCTGAAATTAAAGGTGTGTGCCATATCGCAGCAACACAGACTTTATTATTCAAGTGTTTCCAGGGAGTACAATGTTGGGGTTGTGTCTACTAGAGGCTAGGCAGGTTTGGACACATGAGATATTGGCCTCCCTATTCACAGCTACATTTGATGGCAGGAGAGTGGGTGTTGAGGTGGCCCGTCCAATGGAAAGAGAATACAGCCTCTGAAATCACACCTGGGATCACACCATGACCTTGCCTGCCTCCACGTTCATTTTCGATCTCTGCCTTCACTGAGACTGAGTAATGGACAGTCGGCAAATATTTGTCCAATGAATCAAGAACAGAGAAAGGGCAAAGGCAAATTCATGACTCACTTGATTTCTGTTCCCAGAGACCCAAGTTCCCCAACTCCACAGAAGGGCACAGGAAGAGAAGTGAATGCTTCTAGGAAGAGTGTGGGCTTTCTGGCTGACTCTGCCACTGGCTAGCGGCGTGACTGCAGAGCAACGCCCCTCTTTAAACCTCAGCTTCCCTGTTTACGAAATGAGAAGTTTGGAGTGGATGAATATTTTCCAGCATCTAATTGACACTGCTCTAAGGATTTTCCCCTTTAAACAGTTTATGAAGGCCTCACATATCTGCTAGTCAGAGTTTCCAAAGAGCGAGTGATGGCCACGTGACTGCTTTGAATTTCTAGAACTCCGGACAAAAGTAAAGAAACAAGGGCTCTAGCCAGGATATGTGATTTCTCTTATCAGTTGGAAACTGTAAATAATTCACTTGGACTCTACTCTGAAGTGTGCTGAGCCACTTCTCGGCTCTGTCATCGTTGAGGCACCTCAGTTCAGTTCAGCACAAGTGTTCGGACTCCTCCAGTCCACTGACTTGCAGGACCCTAGTGTCTGTGAGACTGTCAGGTACACACATGAGTAATGTATGTCTCAAAGCCCAAGACAGCTGATGTAAAGAAACTAAGGCTAGCGGAGCAGTGGTGGAAACGCCTTTAATCTTAGCACTTGGGAGGCAGAGGCGGGGGCGGGGGCGGGGGCGGGGCGGAGGCAGAGGCGGGGCGGGGGCGGAGGCGGAGGCGGAGAGAGGCAGAGAGACAGAGGCAGGAAGATCTCTTAGTTTGTGGCCAGCCTGAGCAAGTTCCAGGACAGAGAAACCCTGTTTCAAAAAACAAAGCAAACAAACAAACAAAAGAAAGAAAGAAAGGAAGGAAGGAAGGAAGGAAGGAAGAAAGAAAGGAAAAGAAAGAAAGCCGACTTAGACTGAGCTTAAACAAAGGCTATTTGGCTGCAAGCGCCAAATTCCTTTCCACAAGACAGGAGAAAGAAAGAAGGAAGGAGAGGGTGGCATTGTAGGAAAAGAAAAAGGAGCCATAAATTCCTCCACTCCGCCTAGGAAGGATGGATCAGGGAACAGGGCGGGGGGGGGGGTCTAGAGAAATCATAGCGTGGAGGTTTGTCTTAGCCCCCTCAGGCAAGTCAGTCTGTACTTGATCCACCGTCTTCACACAGCTGGGTCCAGTCCACCCCACCTCATATCCCCCACGGGAAAAGTGCTTCCTCTCATCCTGAAATAGGACTCACAGGTAGCTTTGCGATTGTGTAAACAGATCGTGTCTGATGTCATTCCCGCAGCTTAGAGCCTGCCTCTGGGAAAGCCCCAGTGGCTGGCTACATCCTTTCCAGCCCCGCTGTTTCCTTTTCCCTTTGAAGGTTCAGCTTTTGGGTTCCTACCTTGCTGAGTCTGGGAAATGAACACCCATGTCTTAACCTGACTCCAACAAGGAAACTAAGGACTAAGGGAACCATGGCAGTTCTCTTACAACAGCCTCCTTAGCATATTTTTGAAATTTGATCAAAGGGTCCAGGAAATGTCATTGACTTGCCATTTGACCTTGGGCAAGCCCCTTGGTGGGCCCTAATATTCCCAACTATAAAGAAAAAGCCAGACATTGGATTCCAGCTTCCAAATGCAGTGCCCAGTGACGTCTGAGCCCCTTGAGAAACAAGGCGTCTTTGGATTCCTTACAAAGGCTGAGTCTAGAGACCAGCCTCTACACTAGTTAGCTCAGCAGGCCAAGGCACTTGCTGCCAAGCCTAAGAACCCGAGTTCACTTCCCGGGACACACACAGTGAACAGGAACTGCCTGACTTCTATAAGCATGTGGTGTGTGTGTGTGTGTGTGTCACACACACGAGCATCTATCTGTGTGTCCAGCGTTAAAGATCAAACCCAGGGCCTCATACATGTTATACAAACTCTGTGCTGTTGAGGTACACTTCAGTCAAAAAAAAAACAGACATTTAAAGCTAATCCCAACCTGGGCATAGTGATACACGCTTGTGGTCCTTACACTCTGGAGTCTAGAGGCTGAGGTAGGATCAGAAGTCACAGAGAGCTTGGAGACATAGAGATACCTTGTATCAACAACAACAACAACAACAACTTTAAAAGAGTGAATCAGAGCTACTTATTTGGCAACCCCAGAAGATGCTCTCTAACTGACCCCAAACCAACTCCCCCCTCCAACAGAAAATTTCTCTGTGACCTTGATGTGTCCATGGCCCTCACTGAGTTTTATGGTTTTTTTCCATTTGTAATACGAGGGAGTTGGACTAGAATAGCGGGTCCCCAAGGGCCCTTCCCACACTGCCAAGTCTGTGGTTACAAACTTATGAATGAAATTCAAACTTTGGGTCAGAGGCAGAGGTGGCAAACAGCCACCAGCTGGGACAAACTGTCCTCTAGTGTCTGGTCCTTTGGTCACTTACATCATCCTCACATGGGGGCTTAACTACAAGCATGAAAGGACAACTAGTACTGGGGTCACCTTCTGACCGACCCTGAGAAGTCACACAGGTCCCATGAGACTGGAGTCAAATCCTGGCTCCACTCACCACCTTGTTCGGTAACCTTGGGGAACCTACTTCATCTCCCCACCCCACCCTGCCCCATCTCGTTGGTTTTCTCTTCCATAACATGGGCATCACAGTAGCACCCCTATTGTGGGCTGTGCTGAGAATCAAATGTGTACTTAACCCGATAAGCAGTCCGTGTTGTGTAAATGTTGGCAGAATTAATTACTGCTGTTATTTCTTCCTTTGGAATGTGGGAGTGGAAAAACCTAAGCTCTCAGGATTGAGACAAGGATCTTACTATAATAAGTATCAGACAGAACCTGGAGCCCAGGACATAGTACAAGCTCAATAAACAGGGTTTCTTCTCCGTCTGTCCATCTTTTAGTACTGTAGGACCTTGTGCATGCCTGGAGAGTGCTCTACCACGAACAAGTTTCCTTCGCCACATTATTTTAAGGCAGAGTCTCACGATGGTGCCCAGACTGACTCTGCACTCTTTCTGTACTCCCGACAAGCTTTGAGCTTGTGATCCTCCTGTCTCAGCCTCTGGCGTACGTAGCTCAGATGACAGGCTTGTGGCACCAGGGCCAGCTGCTTCTCTCTGCAACCTCACCCCCACACTCCAGCACCCCTCCTCCCTCCCGAGGTTACTACACAGCTCTGCTCCTGGTTCCTTTTGGGGAATAGTTTGTGGAAGTTCTCTGAAGACACGTTCTGGACAAGTTATGCAACACTGCACTCACACTTTTTGGAAACTCCATGTGGGAGGTTGGCAAGGGCTCCTGTTCACATCCCTGACTATCCTGGACTCTGGCCAGTGAGTTCCTTTCTTAGAATGGAAACGAGAGAGAGAGAGAGAGAGAGAGAGAGAGAGAGAGAGAGAGAGAGAG